TGGTTCTCCCTTCCCAGTCTGCAGGATGTGGGAGATACGCAGCTGCCCTGTGGGGCTCCTTGGGAACCTGAGTCCCATCACCAAGTGAATCGCCCCTCTGTCCTCCTGGCCAGGCTCGGCCTCCCAGGCTCAGCTCTAATGACCCAGCTCCTAAGGTCACCACGGTTGGGCAGGGGTAGCATGGGGACTCACACTCAGCCTTTGGCCCTCTTCTTTGCTTCCTTCGTATCATCCTCCCTCCACCTGGTGACCTCCTACTCCCTGGGGCTGTCTTATTTCCCCACCTCTTCCAGGAAGTACCCAGACCTTCTGGGGACCTCCTTGCTCCTTCTGTGTCTCCTGCAGACCCTCACCCCTAACCTAGACCCTCTCACCAGGTACTTCTTGTCTTTCAATTTAAAACCTCTTTTGCTTTCCAATGAAATAAATTAGTGCTCAATCTAAAAAACTTAGAAAATACCAATAAGCAGAACCGCGGGGATAAAGTTATTCCCCTCACAGTGGAAGAGATGGGGCTTGATCCTGGGCAGCCTTTTCCTTGAAGATGGTGGATGATGAAGTTCTGAATTCCTTAGATCCTTCACCCAGCTGTCAAAACCAGCCCAGACACTCCATTCAGGAGGGCCAGGCCTTGCCGCAGCCCAGCATGTAGATTTAGTTTGGGGCCTTGCAGTAAGCCTGCATGCCCTCTGAGAAGCCCCCATGTCCCAATTTCTCAGGCATGATTTAAGGGGAGACATGCTTTAGGCCCTCAGTACTAATTTGCTTCATCTTTTTTGGGAGTTCTAAGCATCTTAGCCATGTATCTTCCAAGCTCCACACACATTAAGCTGGTAACAGAGTTCAGCTGATCAGAGCCTGAACTCAAAGGGCCTGAGTTTAAATTTTTACTCTGCCCATGACTGGGACAGGCTGTCTCCCTAAGTCTTCATGTTCTCTTCTATAAAATGGGTTTAGTCATACAACCTGCCTCATAATATGCTGTGAGAATTCAGTAAGACTATAGTAACTTTTTATTGAGTGGGAATTCTGTGCCAGGAATGATCCTATTTAATAATCCTGGGGCTCAGGAAGACTGGGCAACTTGTCTAAGGTCACAAAGCTAGGCTCTTGACCTGCCCTGCAGGTTGGTGGGCAAAAGGGTTAACAGCTCCATGTGACTAGAAGAACCACATCCTTTTTGGAAGGAATTCTATCAAGATAGAGAGAACAAATAGACACTTGGCACCATCCGGGCGGGCCCACGAGGGCAGGAAATTGATGTGGGGGACACAGTCATGAAAAGTGCGCTGACTCTTGTGACTTCTACTGAGAACTCTGGGCCTCTTTATGTGACCTAATGTGGAGATGAGTGGAGAGGGGTCCCAGGCTGAGCAGCCACATTCTGCAGACAAGACCCAGCCAGGCCCACTCAAAGGGGCCACCTGCCTTCTCCTCTCTGGGTATCCAGAGCTGCAGACCCCACTCCCACCAGACTTTCCTTTCCTGGACACCCCACCAATAGGGACACAAGAATGAGGCAGCCCAGCTTTAAGGTCTATGTCTGGAAGCTGTGTGGTCATAGGTGGACCCCTGGGTGCACAGCCTCAGCAGTACTGCTGGGACGAGTGGGTGTGTGTACATGGTGAACGGTGTTTATAAGGTGTTTTTTTTTTAATTTCATTGCTCACCTGTTTGCACTGGGCAGGGTTCGTGTGCCTCTGGGGTGATACTGGTGGGTCTGGGTTGGTGGAGAAGGGCATTTATAGGTAGAGGCCTGGGGGGTGGGCTTTGGGGTTCTGCTTCCCTGGGGTCCCAGAGCCCTGGAGGGAGGGTGGGGCCCCCACTCCCTCCTTGCCCTGTTCTGGACTTAAGTTACTGTGGGGAGCAGAGTCTTACCATTGGAGGGAGGCAGCCCAGGTTTCTCCCTGCCCAGGTCCTCCTCTCCCGGAAGCCCAGCCTCAGAGAACCCCACAGGAAGGATCTGAGAGGGTTTAACCACTGCTGTGAGAAGGCAAAGACTGAACTGAGTAGGGTGTACCCAGAGGCCCTAGAATCTAGGCCATTTCCCAGGCAATCTAGGGCTTCCCATGAGCCTCTGGGCCTTGGAATAAAGACACAGTATGGATGGAGATCCTCAGGCCTAGGTCTTGACGCTGTGACAGGGACAAACAAGTGACCAACAGCCTCTTGTCCCTACTCTCTCTGACTAAGTGCCCTAGGCAGGGGACAGAGACCTGAAAAATTATTGCTGTGAGGCTGCCCACTGGCCTTGTGCTTGGCGGCCCTGAGCTGCATTTGATTGAGACTGTTAACAGTTTCCTTTGCTTGGCTCCATGAACAACACTCTTGGTACCAGCAGCCAGGAAATCAAGAGATGAATTGTATTGGGAAAGTCTGCTGTCAGGGACCTCTCCAGAGAAACGATGTCAGTCTGGAGACTAAGGTGCACCTGATCCAAGCCATGGTCTTTGCAATTACTTGCTATGCATCAGAAAACTGCATAATGATTAGGAATGATAGAAGGAAAAATGATGCCTTTGAGTTGTAGTGCTGGTGAAGAGTATTGACCATACCATGGACTGCTAGGAGAACAAACAGGTTCGTCCTAGAGAGGGTGAAATCAAGATGTTCCTTGGAAACAAGGACTCTGAACTCTGTCTGATATACTTCGGGCATGTTGCAAGGAGTGACCAGTCCTTGGAGTGGGACATTATGTTTGTGAGGATGGAGGGACAGCACAAGAGATTCCTCTGTGCAGATTGACTCTGACTAGGGTAATGAGCGTAGGTGTGTCAGAGACAATATGGCACAGGGTAGAGCAGGGTTCAGAGCGGTTGTACATAGAGTCACTATGAGTCACAAGTGACTTAATGGCACACAACAACAACAACAAGGCCCAGAAGCTCATGGGAAGCTCTATGTGGCCTGGAAACTGGCCAGATTCTGAAGCCTCTAGATAAACTCCACATGACCCTCATCTGGTTTGAGAAATAATGTTACCATTGTCAACGAGGCCTTCCACATCAGGGTGTTGGGGGGTCTCTGGCCACCTCTACAGTGAGAAGATGAGGACTAGTGGCTCCCCTAAGTCTTACAAGGAGCACAGGGCAGCCTAGCTCTCATCACAGGGCCTCAAAGAGCACAGGGTAGCCTAGTTCTCCTCACAGGGCCTGTCTCTTGCTGTCTGTCCAAGGGTCTCTGGGCCTAGCGCTCTGAGCACTGGAGGCCGCCCTAGCCCGTCCCAGCCCAGTTCACTCAGCCTGGCCTGGCGTCTGAGGATTTAGCAGGATTAGCTAAAATCCTGGGGTTTGAGCTGAGTTTATCAGAGGCGCCACTCTGGGGGCCTGGGGGGCGGTGGTTTGGCACTGGGTACCTCCGGCTATGCCCTCAGAGAGCTGACTCCCATGCTGGCTGGCTGCCCACTCCTCTGCTTGGTCCAGCAGGTGGGCTGAGGGGCCTGGTTCACAGCCAGTCTGGTATATTGTGGACATGGAGTGGTGTGGGCGGGAACGAGGCCCATGGGCAACCTTTATTGTGCAGATGCTGCCTCAGTAATGAGTTCCTCCTTGGCTGGTACAGGTCTTGCCACTTTTGGGCAGAAGCAGGATTCTGTTGTAGGACATGGGTGAAACCTGTGAATGGTAATGCTTATCCCAACATTGACCTTGGAGGACAAAGTGTGTGAAAGTGCACAAGAGGGGAAACTGATGGTGAAGAGAGAGTCTGATGGTGTGGGCTGGGGGCTGAGGCCGAAGTGGAGTGCTCTTCATGTGAATAACAACACTCCGCCTTGAGTAGCTGCCTGCCAGGCTCTGCAGTGGAGGTGATCCATTATGCTGATCTAAAGGCACTCTGGGGCTGCACTGAGGTCGTCTGGTTACATTCAGTCAGTCCTTCCAAACCCTCTTAGAATCTGAATAACTGGGAAGAGGAAGAGCAGAACGAGCATGGGCTTGGGAGGCTGGTAGACCCAGGTCAGGGTCCCAGTTCTACCATGACTTTCCGTCAGTTTGTGGGCGTGCTCTGTCCCTGTTGGAAGGATGAGACGAGATGATGGTTATGAGTGTGCTTGTGGATTAAGTAACGTTTAGGATGATGTACATGTCCACTTAGAACATCCGGGAGAAGTAGCCTGAACTCTCAGGAGGGTGGGGTTGGTGCAGGGTTGTCACATGAGTTAAAACATCAGAAGTTTCTTTGACTGCAGCCCAAACAAAAATGTAGTAAGGGGCAAAGATTACATTTATGACAACACTGAAACCAGTAAAATGCCCCAAATTAAAACTACAGGATGAGTATGAAGAGAGTGACAGTGTTTTCCTGGGGGATAGTGAAAAAAGAACTGATGTGACCATGAGGTGTGATCTGTAAAACAGTAATCCATGAAATCAGAGGCAGCCTTGCAGAGCTTTATAAGTGCACACTGACAAGCAGTTTCTAGTTTACATAGAAAGGAAAGTGTGTGAGAACATCCAAGGTTTTGAAACAGAGAAACATAGAAGGATTACTTAAGCCTAGCAATACCAAAACATTCTCTAATGCTGAAGTAGAGGCAAGCAGTAAAGTGATGCCATGCAGAAGACAGAAGGCTCGAAGAAATGGGAGACAGAAAACTGTGTGTACAAGCTACAGGAAAGACTGTTTCCAAGCAGTAAATAAAGCAGAAAACAAAAGAAAAGCCCTGCTGCACACCATGCAAACAAAACCCCAAACCAACAAAAACCCAAACCAACAAAACCCAACCAAATAGATATGTTAAAGAGCTTGTGTACGTTTAGATCATGTGCGTCTGCAGTGGTACAGGTGTTAAACAAACCCCCTAAAACAAAGCAGCTGCCTTCAAGTTGATTGTGTTTCAGTGCAACCCATGCATTTCAAAGCAGACCTCTGAAGGCTCAGTCACCAAAGATCCTGGCGTCAGATGTTGACCATCAGCCCACTTTTCATTCCTTGGGACCAAACACCACTCAGGGGGTGAAGAATAAATTTAATCTCTCTGGGATAGGGGCTCTAGTTCTCTAGTTAGGCTCATTTTTGGGGAGGGTCACAGAACCGTGGACTCGCACTCGGTACAGGCAGGTAAAGCGTGGGTTCCCCCAGTTGCTTGAAATCTTTACTTTGACGGAGCCAAAGGCTCGGAGGGGCTGGTTCTGCAAGAGAGAGGAGACATGGACCTGCTTGCCCCCAGGATCCTGGCCAGAGAGACATTTAGAAGTGGAACTTCATAGGTGGAAACTGAGGCCCAAAGAGGGGGACAGACTGCCCAAGGAAACATAGCACATCCTGTACAGGGGTTGGGATGGACAATGTCAAGGCCAGGAGTTGGTTGCGAAAACGTCCTGTGTTTAGGGAGACATCCCAGCCCTGGGTCCCTGCCATGTGTGTCCTGTGGGGGCCTGGTCAGACCATTGCCCACTTGTGGTCCCAGTTTCGCCCTCTTTGAAATGGGAATGGCAATGTCTGCTTCCCATGTGGACATGAAAGGAGATCTTGATCTAGATGACCTACCTACCAGCGCGTGGGATGAGGCTGATGATCTGTAAGCATAGCCCCCTCCCCTTGCTGCCCCATCAACAGGAAGTAGATCCTGCTTATTATACAATGTGCTGTGTGTACTCAATGTACGCCCTCCTCCTTCAGGGAGTTACAGAAGGAAGCTAAGGCCCAGAGAGGAAGGGGTGGTCCGAGATTACACAGAATTCGTGGTTGGTTTGCTGGCCTGGTTCCAAAGCCTGGACTGTCATCCCACTGAGCAGCAGCCCCTGTGGCCCCTACTTCTGTCCCCAGCTCCTTCCCTCCAAACATCAGCTTCCACTCATGTCACTGAGGTTGGATTAAATGCAGATCATGAAGCTTCCCAGTGCAGAGCCACCAACTCCAACTCTGAGCGGCCCCTTCGGCCCAACACCTGCTGTCCCTGGGGTTGCAGAGAGGGGACTCCTGGACAGAGTAGGGGAAGTAGGGCTGAACTGCTCTTCTTGGGGTCCAGCTCTCTGCCCTGGACCCTGAGTCCATCTATCTAATCCTTGATTTCTTGGCTTGTCAAGTGTGTTAGTAATGTTTATGCCCCCCTCCAACCCATATCCTTGGAAGATAAAGTGAGGACCCTGGGGAAAGGCCTGCATGTCCATTCAGGAGGTGCCCAATCTGGATGTCTTTTCTTAGCTACCTGGAGCGGGAACGTCTGAATAGTGTTTTCTGGCTGGAACTGGAATGCGCCCAGGAACACCTCCTCCTTGAGAGTGTCTTCCATGCCCTGTGGAAGGAGGCCAAGGAGAAGGGAGGAGGAGTGGAATGAAGGCATGCTCTTCAGAGGCTGTCCTCCCAGAATGGAGGGAGAGCTCTGTACCAACTGGAACAGCATTACCCCGAGGCACCGAGTATGGGTGGAGAAGAGGGGGCAGAAGGCTGGGGATCTAGTCCTAACTCTGTCACTGACTTGTGAGATTTGAGTGTTTCCCTGACCCATCTCTGGACTTTAATTTCCTTATCAGTAATTTCCCATTAGGTCCCAGAAGACTCTTCAGTTGCCAAAAATCTTTGGTTCAAGTAGAGTAGTTCTGTTTGTCTGATACCCTTAGAGGCTGAGATCTGGTCCACCCCATCATTCCCAGCCTCCACAAAGCCTCAGCCACCCCCTCTAGCCTGCATGAACTGTGCAGACCCTGTCCACCCCTGCCCAGAACAGCCCCGCAGTGTGGTTGGGGCTTAAATGAAGCTTTGCACCCTCCTGGTCATGCTCACATAGATGACAAAGTCCTTGGGTGCGGTGTCCAGGCTGCCTGACAGGGAGATGGTTATGGGAATATGCTGCAGTGTGATGTTGGACAGGTAGACCTTCTGGGCCAGTCGAATGGTCACCTGGCCGCGATCACCCACGAAGGCCCAGCAATTGCCAGGGGTCACATTAGGCTGGAAAAGACAGAGGTAGTACAGTCATCTGGGTGGGCAAAGGAGTGCTGCTCACCCACCTGACTCCCTTAGAACCCCCCCCCCCCCCCCCCCCCCCCCCCCCCCCCCCCCCCCCCGGCTTTCCTGATTGATCTAGATTCTTCCTGTTTACCAACCACGGCTCCAGTGTCATCCCCTTGAAAGAGCCTCTCTGATTGCCTGCGCTAAGAATGAGCCTCGCCACAGCCCAATGCAGTGAGGTAGGCTCTACTCGGGTCTCCTAGCTTCCAGTCTCTACCCTGGGGCCCCCATTCCTTCTTTAATTCTTTCATCCTTCCCATCGTTCTTTATGTGGTCTCACAACCACCCTAGGATGTAGGTATCATTGTATGCCCATTTTATAGATGAGGAAGTTGAGAAACAGCAGAGTAATGACTTGTCTGCAGCCACACAGAGCTGAGCGCGCAGCCCAGGAAATCTGATCACAGAGCGGCCCACAAAACACCTCCATCATCCCAGAGAAACAAAGAGGTTTGGGTGAAAAGTCACACAGTAAGAATGTTCATCCAGCGGGTTCTAAGCATCGTGGAGACAGAGTGTAGGTTGGTCGTCTTCTAGAGCAGAATATGCTGGATGGGGAAGTGCAGGGATCCGTGGGCGTCAGGGAAGCCCTCTGACAGCATCTGAGGCTGAGAAAGTGTAGGAGTTAACTGGGAAGATAGGGAAGGGGATTCCAGAAACACAGCGGCATGTATGAGGCCCAGTGCGGAGGAGGATCAGATGATGAGGGGACTGATGGGTGGAGAAGGGCCAACAGACAGAGTTGGAGACAGTTGAGCTGGCCCTCCTCTCAGCTCCAGACCTGACAGAAACCAGTGTTTTGTCCCTACGCCTGGCCCTGCTCCTGAAGCATCAAAGGACAGAGTTGGAGACAGTTGAGCTGGTCCTCTCCTCTCAGCTCCAGACCTGACAGAAGCCAGCCTTTTGTCCCCAGGCCTGGCCCTGTTCCTCTCTAGTTCTCTTTCCACCTCATGCACTGCCATACCACTCAGCCTGCACCTGGTCCACTGTCTGGCAGGCCTTGGCCCCTCCTCTCTGCCTGACAGCATCTGCTGTCTTTGGCCATCTCGACCCAGAAGGCTTTGCTGCTCCAACCCCTGGCTATGATCTTGACTCTGCAGAAGAGTGGGGCCTGTGCACAAGTGGCCTTGTCCTTATGTTGTCCAGGATGGGCTGTTGGAGTAAGGTTCTCAGCAGTGTTTGCTAAATAAAGGCCCTCCAGGTAGGACCTGGACCAGGACGTGCTCAGCCGTGGGCCTTAGTTTCCTCACCTATGAGGCAGGATTCTAAAGGGGTGAAGAGCTCAAGTTTGAATCCTGTCTCTGTCACTCCCTGTGACCAGGTATGTCCTGCAGGCAAGTGTAGTGAGGACAGAATATGCTCAGGGCTCCCAATTTCTCTCCTTTGGCTTCCTCTCTGAGCCTCAGTCTCCTCTGCTGTAAAATGGGCTTTCAGGGCCTATCATCCAGGGTGGTCCTGAGGGCTCCCTGACTCATAGGTCTTCAGGGATCTTAAGGGAAGCCCCTTCCAGTATCACAGCAGGTACTGTCCCTGACCTTCTCCTTCTCCAGCCTCTCTCCTTACAGCTGCCTTGCTCTCTGTACCCACTTGCTGCCCTTGTCCCCGAATTTTCCTGCCCCTGCCCTATCAACTGCCCCCATTCTCTGCCCTTTACCTCCTCTCCTTGGCCTGTTTCTGACCTGTCCCTGACTCCTTGCTGTTACTCCACTCCACCCCAGCCTATGTCTCTGATCCCCACCCCCTACCCAAATCCTTATTCTTGTCTTCAGACTCTACTCCTGACCACACCCCCACCCTCAGCCCCTGCCTTCTGCCCATCTCGTCCCGTGCCCCGGCCCCTGCCTCCAGGATCACATCCGGGGGTTGTGCATAGTTCCAAAGTCGGATCCAGTTCCAGTAGGAGCGGGCCTTATCGTGGTTGTACGTGTCTGATGTGTGATCATGATCGATGGTGGCCCCTGCATGGGAAATGTTGTGTGGGGGGGTTAGTCCACAGGTGAGCAGCTTCCCTCCCTAGACCACCTCCAACTGATGCCCAGTGGAGGAGACCTCAAAATGCTGGAGCATTCATTATGTGCCAGGCTAACATATGATAGGAATTACTGACCCCTCTGGGCCTTAGTGTTCTCATCTGGGAAATGGGTATAATCAAATTCCCAGCTGTGGTAATAATATTCATATTAGTATTAGCAGTATTGCTATTGATAACATTCTCTTCATAGGATGAAGACAGATGGGCAGTCTCCTCCCATGTGATTTACTGCCTCTGAAAACCTGCTGGAGGGTAAGCAGGGAATCAGTTCTGACTCGACTGCATGCGACAGAAACAACTTCGTAGAGTGGTTGTGATGGAGAGTTAATAGACTAACGTACTCTGCAAATAGTGCCTGCCACAGACTATACTCCAGCCTTCTTCCTGTTATTATGCCCCTTTTACAGTGGAGGGAACTACAGTCCTGAGAGGTGGAATGAGGCCCAAGTGAACTCAAGGAAGCTCTGATAACTTAGTGGTAAAGAGCTGCACTGCTAATCTAAAGGCAGGCAGTTCAAATACACCAGCTGCTCCAAGGGAGAAAGATAGGCAGTCTCCTCTGCTGCAGCTTCTGAAAACCCACTGCTGGGTCAGTTTTGAGTTGGTTCCTACTGGACTACACACAACAACAAGGTTATTCAGGGGTTGATTTGATGCCCTTTGATTCCACATACCAGCATGTCTAGAGGTGCTTGTGTCAGTAGTAATATCTGACTAGAGTGCCCCTCATTCCAGCCTGGTCCACTCCACCAGTCCTTCACCCCTTTGCTCTTTTGGTGCTTCACAGAGGCCTTTTTCTCATCTGCTTCCTCTTTGCCCATCAGATCTCAACTCACCTGGGAGGCTTCTCTCTGACCAAGACCCATCTGTCCCATACATCTACTCTAATTCTCTCAACACTGATTTCTAGCTTGTGTTGGTCTGCTTAAGTGGTTGGCACCCTCTACCCCGTCGCAGAGGACAGGGGCAGCTCTATGCTACTCACCCCTGTGCCCTCAGCACCCAGCACCCAGTGCCTCGCATACTGCAGAGGCTAGGCTTGGAGAAAAAGTGAGTGGGTGAAAGGGCATGTGGAGAGGCAGAGACAGTGATCGGTGCTTCCTTCCTTCACCTCCCCAGGTGCCAGGAGAAAACAAAGAGCAAGAAACCCAGATGGAGAGAAGAGGTTGCTCTGAGGACAAACTTCCCAGAAACAGAAGCAGTGTGTGAGAAGCTCCGGATCAGAACAGAAATTCACCCTCTGGAGAGTTTCTGAGAAAACTTGAGTTAGGTAAGTAATGGGCACTCACCTATCGACTTCAGGGCAAAGTCTGGCTTTTCAATGTAATCTCCTTGAACAATCCTCATTATTTTCTGGGCCATTCTTTTCTGAGAAGGGAGAAAATAGAAGCTTTGCACTAGTATATTATTCTTAGGGAGTCCTTATAGCCTAGTGGGCACAGAGTTGTATCACCAACCCTAAGATAAACACTTTGAATCTACCAGCTGCTCTGAGGGAGAAAGATGAGCAATTTCTTATCATGTGATTTCCAAACTCACTAAATGGTCAGCTGTGAGTCAATTCCAACTCCATGGCACATAACAACAGTAACAGCAACAACACAAGTGTGTTCTTACAGATCATGGTCCACAGATAAATGTTCACACCTATATGTGGCTCCCAAGATAATCTCTCCTTCCTAATTGCTCACCTCTACCTTGGAAGCCCATTTGCTATATACAATGCGGAACTCTGGGCCACACAGAACCAGTGGCACCTCGTGTTGCTCTTTACTCACCAAGTTTACCTAGGCTTTCACCTCTAGCACCACAGTGTATCATGGGCTCTGGAGTCATACAGACCTTTGCTGCTTTGAGGTGCTGAGAAAGTCATTGTACTCCCTGAATCTTAATTTTCTTAAGATGTGTAAGATGGGGATTATAACTACCAGTTCCCAGGACTGTTGAGAATATTAGAACTAAGACATATAAAGCCTGTACTACGTGCCAGGAGTATTATCAGCTTCTCATACATTCACGCACATTCCATTGCAGCAATCCTAGGAAATAGGTACTATTATTATCCTCATTTACAGTAGGAGACCATTGAGGCACAAGGAAGTAACTTGTCTCAATGGTGATTAGTTTGATAAAACATAATAATGGGAATGATTTTATGAAATAAAATGTGAATGAAGGATAGTGTGAAACATGATGTATATGACTTTTGTAGGCCAACCAACATAAAATTAAAACTTACAAAAAAAAAGAAGTAACTTGTCCAAGATCCCCCAACTGGTAAGAAACACACTTGGACAATGACTAAGCATGGCAGAAGATGAATAGATGCCTTCGAGTTGTGGTGCTGGAGAAGAGTCTTGAACATACCATGGACTGCCAAGAAGACAAATAGGTCTATCTTGGAGAGGGTGAAACCAAGTCTCTCCTTAGAGGCTAGGATTTTGAAGCTCATCCTCACTTACTTTGGGCACATGGCCAGGAGAAATCAGTCCTTGGAGAAGGACATCATGCTCAGAAGGGTGGATGGACAGTGCAGGAGAAGAAGACCTCAGATGAGATGGATTGATACAGTGACTGGGGCAATAGAGGTTGATGTGTCAGAATTAGTGAGACTGGCTCCAGCCAGGGAAGGGCTCAGAGCTGCTGTATGGTCACTATGCATCTCAGGCGATCCAACCATTAACATACTATGACAGGTTTTGTAAGCAGGAGTGGTATCCACCTCCTAAACAACATGCCTCTGGAAACTCTATGAACTTTGATATAAGTTGATGGTGTAGAGGAGCTTCAGGCCTTTTGTTCACGGGGTCACTATGAGTTGTGCTTGACAATCAACAACACGATGAATGTGTTTTATAAAGAAAAAGACTGATGACAAGTGAAATGATGAAGAATTTTACCATAGAATAAAAATCTATGGAAAAAATATATCCAAGAGTCAAACAATGCAATAACTGGAATTAAGAAGAAAATGAATGGGTTCAACACAGATTGAACAGAGCAGAATACATGATTATGATTGAGTTTGAAGAAAGGTCAACAGAAATTATCAACATTTTAGCACATAGAGAAAAAAGAAAAAAAATCAGATAATAGTATAGAAATCATGTTGCAATATGGCATATGTGCAAAACTTTAATATATGTGTGCTTAGAGTCCCAGAAGGAAAAGAGAGAGTCAGAAAGAAGAAACATTCTAAGAAACAATAGTTGTGAAATTTCCAAAGCTACTGAAAGACATTAATATCTAGATTCAGTAAGCATTAAACCCACAAACAGGATGAACTTAGAACATTGAAGACAAAAAGAATTTTCTACATATTTCTATGGATTAAAAAATAGATCACACTTAAAGGACTAATAATAAGAGTGATTAAACAGCAGTCATAGAAACTTGAATACATTTGAGCACTTTCTTAAAAATGCTGACAGTTCTTTTCTTTGTACAATTCTATACACAGCCAAACTATGAATCAAGTATAAAGACTGAATCTTTTCAAACACAGACATTCTAAAACTATAAACATCCTTTCTCTTTAACTCTTTTCCAGAAAATTACTTGGGATGTGCTCCATTAAAATGAAGGAAGAAAGCAAGGGGAAAAAGATCACTTTGGATCCTGGAAACAGAGAATCAGACAAAGAGAGAAGATAGGTGCTTAGTGGTGCAAAATAACCTCACCTCATCTGACATTGCTTCCATCTCCTGGAGCTTGGCAATGAGCTGGTTCATGCTACCTCGGAGGTCTTGGATTTCTCCAGAGTGATGTCGTACCTTTTCCTGGTATATCCTTTTCAGGAAGGAATGAGAGCATGAACTGAATTTGTTATGGTGCTGCCATTGTCTCTCTGAGGTTCTTTCCTTGTCATTTGGCTCTCAAAGAACTAACATTTTATTCTGCTATTCTCTTGGGCTCATCCCTGGGCCCCTTTCAGCAGATTCTTATCTACAAGCTTATTCATGCTTTCTTGCAACTCTAATATCTTTAACCCAGCTCATTCCTTCAAAACTTGCTGTTGTTACGTGCCATTGAATCATAGCGATCTAAGAACAGTCTCTGACATATCTGCCCCTATTATCACAGTCACTGTGTCAATCCATCTTGTCTGGGGTCTTCCTTTCCTGTACTGACCTGCCACCCTTTCAAGCATAGTGCCCTTCTCCAAGGACTGGTCCCTCCTGGCAACATGCCCAAAGTATGTGAGATGGAGCTTCAAAATCCTTGCCTCCAAATAGTCCAAATATTTTGCCTGCAATTAAGAATGCTGCCACCAGGAGGAGGCTTGTTGGTTGAAATGTCTATCATCTACTGAACATTGACTATCGGCCAGGAATTATTATTTTACATCTTCATTAATGATCATAATTGCTCAAAGCAAGTATAATGTTTCATTGTGTAAGAAATCTAAGATCTAGAGAACTGAAATGACTTGCATAAGTGAACCAGGAAGAAATTGTGGAGTGGGAATTTGAGTAGAGTTGGTCTGCTTCTAGAGTCATAGTTCTAGACAATACATCTCGGATACTTACTCTATGCTCTAGGTTTTGTGTGGTGATAGGACCATTCAACAGAATCCTCTTACCTCAAGGTTTGCAGTGGACCATTTATGTTGTCATCCTGGTGGGGTGTTGAGAAAAGCAAGGGATCTCCTTCAGACAGCCTAATCTGGGCCCAATGGAGATGAATTCATCCATTCTCCCACAGCCATAAATCCATACGTCCATTCACCTCCCCATGTTCTCTTCTATCCATCCATCCATCCATCCATCCATCCATCCATCCATCCATCCATCCACTTACTCATCTATCCAAACTCAGACTTACCTTTCCTTTTATCTGTCCATTTACTATCCATTTATCTTACTATTAATCTACTTCCCTTTTATAGGCCCATTTTCTGTCCTTTTATTTTAATGTTAATCTACTTTCATCCAAATATGCATCCATGCACCCATGCATCCATCCATCCCTCCATGCATCCATCCATTGATCCATGCATCCATCCCTCCATGCATCCATCCATCCCTCCATGCATCCATCCCTCCATGCATCCACCCATCCCTCCATGCATCCATGCACCCATCCACTCCATGCATCCATCCATCCCTCTATGCATGCATCCATCCCTCCATGCATCCATGCATCCATCCATCCCTCCATGCATCCATCCATCCATCCCTCCCTCCATGCATGCATCCATCCATCCCTCCCTCCCTCCATGCATCCATCCATGTATCCATCCATCCATCCATCCATCCCTCCATGCATCCGTCCATCCATCCATCCCTCCATGCATCCATCCATCCATCCATCCATCCATC